AAGAGAGAGAAAGAGTAGGGTAACAGCGACAAGAAAATGAAGAAGTCTTCGGGAGGCGCAGGTGACAAGAAGAGGCCCCGACGCTCCTCGGCACCAGATCCCGCCTCCGACGTCCCTCCTAGGGTTAGGGTTTCCATTTACCATCTTCAATTTTCCACTTCCGTTTTTCCTCTATCTGCTATATTTCTCCCATTCTTAATCTCACTCTACGCCTTTTCTTCTCATTTTCGTTCCCACCAAAACACATCTGATCAAATTTTGGGTTTCAATTTGTTTTGGTGGTTTGAATTTCGGTAATGTGCTGATTGTAACCGCGGAAGAACGATAAGCACTATACTATTTGGCTAGAGTGTGTGTGATAGTGCCATGTTTTCAGCTCAATTTTTTCTTTAATTTCTCCAAATAGGGTTTTTGTTGTGATTGTAACATTTTTTGCCATTTTCAATTTCACTAGTGTTTTTTTATGGAGAAAGAGAATTTTGGAAGCAAGGTTGAGTTTTTATTAACATTTGATCTGGTGTGTGTGTAGTTTTTTTGGTTGATTTATGCTTCAATATATGCTGAAATGTCTATTTTTTCTTTTTGTCCCGTTTGTAGAATGTCATTGTGCAGGTCATGTTCAATTGAACCATGAATTTGAGTTATGCTATTTTGCCTCTTTTATTTACTGATAAACGAGCTGTTTCTGTTATTTTGTGACTGAGTTGGGGTTTCTTTGTTCACAGAAACAAGCTGTCAAGAAAGATGTGTTCCAGGTGTTTGCTGAGAAGGTTAGAGATCACAAGGAATTGGTTTCGAGATGGGCTGTTCTACAGGAGACTCGTGTTGAGTATTTTAGAGGGAAGGATTTTGTGAGCTTCTTGAAAAACAATCCGGAGCTCAAGGATATTCTAGAATCAGATAGGAATTTAGAGACAGAGGAGATTGCCAACATTCTACTTGGGAAAAATCTTTTAGTGCGCTGTGATCGTGTTGTAAAAACTGTTCGTCCTGGGAAGAAAAAGTTGTCTACCTGGCCTGCACATTTGGAAATTTTCCCTGTTAGTGTTTTTTACTCTTGGTTTGAGCCTTATTTCTGCAATTATTGAATGCAATGATTATATCAGAAAGTTCAACATGTATGTACTTGAATGTAGTCTGTCAATATCTCAGAAATTTCTGACTCTGCATTATTGACCTGTTGGACGTTTCCTTTTACCCCCACAACTATGTTGCTGATTGAATCATTCAATTTTTTGTGGTGTTGATATATTCATTTTGGTTTTATCTGTAGAATAGGTTTGCTTGCATTATTGGGTGTCTATTTTTTAAATTTCTATGTAATAAGCTGGTGGTGCATTCATAGATAAGTATATTGTTTTGCTACCTATATGTGTATTCATGGAACAATTGTATTTTCATTTTACATATGTTTGCAATTCAGGATATTTCTAATCTTGAAAAAAATAAAGAAAACAACTTCAGGGAAGAAATATATGAACATTGTAAGGTATCTATGGAGTTTAAGTGCATTTCCTATGTTAAAATTATCACAATGTATGGTTTTTTCTCTGCCACAGTTTGTGACTGGGTTTATTTTTGTGCTTGAATTTAACAAAATTTGATTGTCTTTTGCAGGAACAAGTATTTTCTGAAAATGATGCTTTCTTTGCATGGACGTTTGCTAAACGCCATCCGCTTTGGCAGACACTCCTCTCATTTTTCTGGCCTGTGTTAACGTTGGCTATATGCTTATTCCCTGTGTACCCTCATCGCTGCAAGCTATTGATACTTTACTCATGTGCTGGGATCCTTTTCCTCATCCTCTCTGTACTTTTGAGTAAGTTTTTCTTTCCTTTAATAGTTGATTTTTTTTGGCTACTTTCTTCATGTAGTTTAAGTTATTTAGTGTTTGTGTTGCATGAGGTAGCTATAGTACTATAACAGTGCAAAAAAGCACAATTTTTAAAATTTAAAGATGTTGGAGATTCTCAACTAGAGATATGGCTAATTATAGGTTTGAATTATGTTTGAGGTTCGCTTCCTAAGATAGTATTTGAGCTTTATTTTAACGAAATTTTTTGGGACTATCATGTCACCTACTATGAGTCACCCACAAATATTTGGTCACACGATTGTGATGTTTAATTCTCAACATGAAGGGTAGTTGGAAATGTCACATCTACTAGAGATATGACCAAACTTTAGTATATAAATAGGTATAAATTTCACCTAATAAGCCAGTGGTGTGAGATGAGTTAGAGTAGAAGTGCAGTTTCTAAGAGAAGATATGAACATGTTAATATAACTTTTTAAACAATGAGTGAAAAAGCTTTCATTAGGAAACTACAAATCAATGTGATAACAATGAAAGCCTTTTACGGTAGGTGATTGAAAGTCGATCTATCATGATTATAATTCAGGAGGTTTAGTCTTCAAATGAGGAAGAGGAAATTGGGTGCTTAGTTGAAATTTGAATTGTGTAAAGAATATAATAATAAGAATTGGAAAAATAGGATTCATTGTATGATTTTCATTCATATATTTTTGTGTACAAATACTCTGTTCATATAGCATCTCAATTCCTACAATTCAAGACTAAATTAAAAAAGTTCTGATTATATAATATTTTGTACTGCTATACAAACCTATTATTCAACTGGTCAAATATCTTCATCTCAACAATAAAGACATTCTAGAGTATCAGTATTGCAATATCTCATGAAAAGGAGAGGTTTGTGATTGTGATAAGTTACTAAAATCTGGGAGATATTACATTTTAGTATTAGGTTTCTGTTTTTTTGAACTTCGAATGGGTTTTTATGAGTTAGGATGTTTGTGCAAAATAAAAGCAATGTAAGGAAGGTTTGAGTTTTTGAATGCTAAACTGATACAAGAGGAGGTCATTTTTCAATAATAATGGAGATATGTGGAAAAATACATCTGCTGCTTGGAATTTTATTATTGAATAATTTTTGCCCTGTGCAGAAAAATATATGTCTCCTTCTATGAGTTATACAGCTTGAAAGCCGGATGCTTTAGACCTGTGAAATAGGAGAATCCATCGCATGCACCTTGATTTCGCTTGGTTTTGGGTTTTGACAAACGTTTTCAAACTTATACTTTAAGTTGCTTTGTTTATGCACATCGCAACTCGTTGACTTCTGGAATTTATATATTGTCACAGTTGTTAGATGCTCAAGGAATAAGATATATTTCTTTGAACTTCTTGTGCTCTTGGCAGCCATAATTGTTTTTATTAGAAGTGGATTATTGTCTGAAATATGCTTTATTAAGGGCAGCACATTCTGGTTCAGTGCTTCCCTGGGCCTCATGAACTGTTTTTTTTAATGTTGTAGTAAGAGGTGCAATATTTGGTGCTTTATATATCATTCTTGGAAAGCGAATCTGGTTTTTCCCTAACATCCTTGCCGAGGAAGCAACACTTGGGGAGTTGTTTAGATTCTGGCCTAAGAAAGATGAAGAGGAGAAGCCCAAGTGGACAACGAGGATTTTCTATGCTGGGGTAGCTGTGCTGTTCATATTATTACTGAGGCATCATGCACCTGATGAAGCTGCCAGAGCAAGGTACGCCCTAAACACTAACAACAATGGATGAAATGATTATATCATTTCACATTCTGACAGAAAAATAGTCATAAACTGGAACTCAGCTTAAATTCCTTTTCAGTTGCATCTATAAACAAATCCATAAAATGGAAAAGCAAAACTATTTATTGTTGGTCTTTTCTAACTGGTACAACATGTTGCTTTGGTTTTGTGCAGGTACCACAAGAGGGTATCTAACATCATTGACGATGTTCTTGAATGGTCCCCAACTTTAGCCTTGTCTGGGATGATGGATAAGCAACAAAATGTGGCTAATGCCACGGGGTCTGCTGATACTAGCAAAACTGGAGCAGAGCATGCAGCTGATGGTGATGATGAAAATAGTTTCATGGAACAATATAATAATACCGAAGAAGTGATAGAGGATGTGGATGATGATAAACAGCATGATTAAAGGTTAATCATATATACCTAAATGAAATATATGTAGTGACTAGTTCACAATTTTCCTTTTGAGTGTAAAAGTACCATGTATGAAATAATAACATAAAAGTGGTTCGCTTTCAAATCGATCCTCTTAACGGATGATTTTTCTCTGCTTCTCATGCGCGCGCCCAAGTTAAAATGGCAGAGGTTAGTTTTTGTCTGATAGGTAAAAAATGTTTTAAATATATTAATTTAAAATAAAGATTACATTTTATAAGTGAAGTAGGTTAATTATTTTATTTTATAGCACAAACTATCATGAAGACTCAATTATTATTGTACGGAAAACATCTGTTTATAAATATTGGAAAATGTCATCATAATCTTGCAATGCCGAAAAAACATTTTTTAAATGGTTTGTCGTTTACTAATATATTGTTTTCCAAAGTAACACTTTAATGTTACTTTTATCCTTGAATAGTCTGATTTGATTCCTAGAAGTCTGTGCATGTACTTTAGTTTCTGAAGTTATTAATTTTCTAGTAAATTAGTCCTTTGAATTTGACCAGATTTTGTTAACCAAGTTATCATGAAGCTTAGAATTAAGGACGAAAATAGGTTAAATAATTTCAATATTTACGACCTAATTCGTACAAGATATATCGTTAGCTACACTATTTAGCAAAAAGATAATGACCCAAACTTTCAAAAACTATCTTTAGAGAAGTTGGTTATCCTATGATAAGCTTATCTGTCCAAATATTTTTTTAGAATTTATTTTAAGAACTAAAACATTTTTTTATGTTATTGTGGTTCTAATAATTTCAAGTGTTAAAGAATGTGGATCCATGTTTTAGTTTTTCCTTCACTAATCTAATGCATGCGTTTTTACCATGTTACACCCAAAATAAACTACTCGAAGCTGGAAGTGGAGAAATCAGAACGAGCACGACATTGATCTTTTCTTCACTTCAGTAATAAAACATGGGAATAATACTTATTGATAACTTTTAAACTCAATAGATTACATTTTTTAACTCAAGCGCCTCTTATTTTAATATTTGAATGAAAAAACATATACACATATTTGTCCTACAAGCTAAGTGACCAAGGAATAGCATGTACTTCAAGTTTAGATAAAAACACCTTTATTCTCCCCCATTTGAACAGACTCCCACTTATATTATAATATACAAGAATAATCAGATGAGGAAATCTTGCTCACTTCTACAAAAGACCAAACTTACGTTTGAAGATGCTAGAAATATTACTTTTTCATTCATGAAAATTTAATTCTGTAGAACAATGACTAGCGAAAAATTAAAACAAAGGCCAATAAATGCTGTAATAACTAAAAGCATGTTCATTAACACTTGAAATTAAAACTATGACGTCTCATGTTAACATTAACAGCCAGTTGAACTACACAATAAACCAGTCAAACAGAGTGTTGGTACATCAAGAGTTTGTTTCTTCTAACCTGATCATCATCCATCCAAGTTGGTTGAAGTTGGAGTTGACTAACCACTATAAAACTGTACAAAATTAAAAATGAGCAAAGAATGAAGGATTGATTGACCGACTTCAACAGAAATCACAAATATCAATAATCAATCACTCTTTTCGCTCCCCCATAATATCATTCACACCACAAACACAAGAACAAAGCCAAGAATGATTTGCCGCTTGGCACATATATTGCCAAGAATGTTTACAGATAACCAAGGTATTCACCAATATGTCTCTAGGATACAAACCAACCTCGGCCTCTAAACCCCCCCCATCAATTGTGGTTTAGTTCTGACCTGAACGGTCCCCTTCCTCCACTCTTTCACCTGAGGATGAATGATACACCGAAGATTGCAAACCGTGATGATTATTGTAAGAGCCACTGACATTTTGGAAACCAGGTGCTTCGAACCTGTTCTGTACTTTTGCTGCTCTTGCATCTTGTTGCATGTTAGGAGAATTCCAGGTTTCCGCAGAGTCAGAATGCAAAGGTTCAGAACCAGATGAACTAATTGATTGTGATGATAGGACAGAGTCAGCACCATTATCCTTTTCCTTGCCTGAGTTGTTTGAACCCTCAGCATCGGATTTCTTTGCAAATCGTCCTCCGGTACCCCTCGCCCGTCTCATAGCATGCTGGTGCCGAGACTCGTGAAGATATGGCTGTGAGACACAGATGTCAGCACAGCCCAATAGTGCAATAGTGATCCAGAAAATATCAAACACAACAGTGGCACAAGTAGAACTAAATTCCATGTCCCATAAAAAACATTTTCAACATGGTAAATAAAAGAATACGCTACTTAATTCCTGTTTTGATTCTCAGTTTCAAACATATTACTGTTGGAATAAAGTTAACTGCATATGATGTTTACCACTGAAAGGCAAAATTAGAGAGGAGTCCCCAGAAGTTAATATAGAAAAATCATTATAGGAGATACTAGGTTGTTACGAGAGAAATCAGAGATTGGAATGAAAACCGTGAGGAAAGTTTATACAGAGTCATTCATTACATTCGTCATGCATGAATAGAGAATATTTTATTTCCTCTACTAAAAATTTTATGTCTACAATAAATACAGAATATATTATTCTGGTTTTCAACATAGGTTATAACAAGGTTGTTAACGTTTATGCAGTGTTTTCCGCTGCCTGCATTGCAATGCTATTTATTTTACCACTCCTGACTTCCTTGAGACTACAATAACAGATCCTAGCAAAAAATATATTGGAAGTTGTTCTTATTTACATTTATTTTGATTCAGCCTATTACACAATAGATGTTCATTTCATAAATATTTTCACAGTTCCAACTTCCAATTTGGAATAAAGGAGAACCAATTTGTCACAACATCTTTAATTCAGCATGGTCATGGACATTACTGAAATGGATATTGATGCACAAGCATCTCGATCTACACACATTGAAATATGGTCATGCTGTACAATGGTACAACATGACAACAGGAATTTCACATTCCACTAGCTTTTTTTTTTCATCTAAACATGGTCAGTGTTCAAGATTATATTACACCCTTTGGCAAACAGAATTACATTCACGAGGTAGACTTCTTTTTTACTTCCATTGCATCTTTGGTAGAAAACCTTCACACATAGATTAGATAAAATTAATCCATGTCCCAATGATTTTCCTTTTTAGATCACCAGAGAGTTATAAGTTTTAGTACACAAGTACAGTAAAAGAAGACATGGCTTAAAAAATATCTCACGTAAAATGTGGTTAGATATCACTTGTTCAAATAGTAGTTACAATAACAAAGACAACACATTTGTACCTTTCTAGATTTTATTAGCTTCCTTTCAAGTTCTGCTTTAGCACGGGCTTGTCTTCGCCTCAGAATTCCTTGGTACTGTTTGGCATTCACATAAACAGGCTCTTGAGCCATCTCAAGGGGCAAAGGCATCCTGGCATGAGGCATTCCTATAAAAGGAGGATATCCCTAATGGTAAAAAAAATATTATTTGGTTACTTATCTGCTATCCAAATATGACCAATTCTTTAAACAAGAAAATAGATCAAACAGAATGAAACAAATTTACAGTTATTACAAGAACATATCTGTTCAGGATTATATGCTAACCATATTTCTTATTACACAAATTTGAGGAAATTGCAACTCAGTAACTGTTATACTATGACCTGTATATGCAATCATAACCTTTGATAAAGTATTTGCACAAGATTAATTACATACCAACTGCTGGTGACCATAAGCTGCCATCATGCCCCCATAATATGGATCTTGATAAGGATTTGTAGCACATGCCTGTATCAAAAAATTTAAAGAGTCCAATCCATCCCACAAAACATGCAGCAATAAATTCTACTACATATTTTCTATAAAATGATATGCATGAGTCAGCAAGAATTTATGCTATTAATGCACTCTATATTTGGACCGTGTTTAAATGTTAAAAAAGTGATGAGACCAAAGGAAAAGACTAACAATTGAATGACCAACAAGTTCCAGCTGCGGTGTCTGAGTAAGGCATTCTTCACGCATGGATGGTGCAGATGATGCAGTATGCTGGGTCCCTTGCTGTTCTTGCCCATAATTTCCTGCAAAGTAAAAAATACAACGTATTAATAGTTGGAAGAATGAAAAAGTTACAAAATACAAAATTAAAAAGTAACAATTCATTTGATTATGTTCCCTAATTTCATTTCCATCATGTGTCTTTAAATGGTTAAATGATACTCTAAACACCTGGTTCGTTAGGAACAGCAGGCTGAAATTCTTTAGTGGCATCATCATCTTCCTCATTCATCCCGCTATTGGACAAAGACTGGCCTTCTTCATTGGACTCAGAATCACCATTAGGGCACTCAAGAGATGACGAATTGGATGCATTTGCCCCAGCCATTGTTTGGGCCAAGGGATTGTAACCAATACCGCGCCACCAAGGCTCGGAATAAACACTTCCAGGTTGAAAGGAATGAGGATCTGACCTCAGTCGATTTGCAGTTTCAGACTTGGACTGCATGTCTACAGATCCCTACAAAAGCAACACAGTGATGCACAAAATCATATTCCTTACACTAAGACAAAGCCAACTGATAGTAAAACAAAACTGATAACCTTTATAAAAATAAATTCAATCTCCGGGGGGGAATGATAAAAACCAACCAGCAACCCACACCGAAATTGATCATGATTCATCATAAAATCAAACAAGCCTTTTTTTTTAACCAGCTAAAAGTAACAAAGCTGGAATTCATTCATTTTGTGTACAATAGACAACATCTATCAAATGATAGTTACATCTATAGATATAAAGCAGGGGAACAAAAACTCAAACACTATCTTAAATTTTTAAAGCCGTATTAGTCAAACAGACAACCGAACAGAAGCACAGGAAGACCATAGCATACATCAACAGCATATGTTATCCAACTGTCGGTCAGTGCCAGACAACCAACCGCACACTACCTACGAAGCTCAGCCTCGCCAAATTTCAACAAATTTGTCACTTTACACCACCCCAAAACACTCAATTCTCCCCACATTCACACAAAACCTTATTTCAGCTAAATTCCCCTTCCCGCCACGAAAAAAAAAATATATTTCGTGATTCCATTCAAGAATTCCCACATCACAGCTCAATCAGTCAACAAATTCTCCGACCAATCTTCAAACAATTCACATAGGAAGAACGAAGCCGAAAACCCTAATCCCCAAAAGACTCTGACAGAAACGAATCACGCAATTAAACGAAACCCCCAAATCAATCGAGAGAAGAATCGAGTGAAAAGAATACCAGAGTACTTACTTACCAAGAGAAAGAACAGAAAACCCTAGATTTTGGGTCCTCAGATTCTGATAGAAAATTCAAAAGGCGCTATCTTGATTCCTCTCTCTCTGTCTCTCTGTCTCTCTGTCTCTCACGCATACACTCTCAAATTAGCACCAGAAATTAATTAATAGCAGCAACACCAATTACAATAGAGAAAGTTTAAATAAATAAAAAAATTGAAACAAAAGTTCAATGAAAAAAAAGATAAGAAAATTTGTAAAATAACAAACTTAACACTCTCACAAAGTCTTTGGGTCTTGGTCTTTTTAAGTCTTCAGTCCTCAAACTGCATTTTCCTTTATTTAATCAATTAATTAATTTTTTTTCTTCAACAAAGAAGGGTAATGATGACGTCACCTACCTGTGGGGTCACCAAGGACACGTGGAGGAGGGGAACCGGCAGTGCCGGTGGCAAGAGAGGGTGCGTCGTGTGAGACAGAGGTGAAGCGTGACCGGGGATAGTGGGTTGGGATTGAGGATGAGGGCTGCGGGTGAGGTTATCAGGGCCCTTGAGAGGAACCCAACAAAAGAAAAATGTGGCCCACGTTACACGCACTTGAGCAGCACAAGTCCGCGAAACGCGTGGCCTCTGTGTGGGGACCACATCGTTCCACCGCTGACAGCAACCTCAGACACGTGTTTGAGACGAATTCAATTAGTTTTTTACACTGATTTTAGTCAGTTTTTATGATTTGAACGACTAACTTTATTTTTTTTCTAAATATAAAAGGAATTAATTAAAAATTGAGTAAAGTTAATTAAAATTATTGTGATTGTTTTTAGAAAAAAAATTAATGAATCCGTTGAGATGAAAATACATTTAATATTAGTAGAGAAAGTTAATTTTTTTTCACAATTGTCAAAATATTAATTATATTTATTTTTATTCAGTCTAACAAATATATTAAAAATACAGTTCAGTAAAATTTATTAAACATGTTTATTCTCTATTAGTCCATGTTTACATCTATTTGAACAATTTATAACTAATTTTTAGTTATTATAATTATTGTTTATATTAAGATATTATATTATTGTTAGTAACTTATTTGTTATTATTACTCTAATTATAACATAGGTTTATTATCAAATAC